GGCGGGGGCGGGGGGGGGGCGCTGCTGGAAGCGGCTCTCGATAAGGGGGACAAGAGGTGCACTTGACTCAGGGCAGGTCCGTCAGGAAAGGGGCCGTTTGCAGCCGCTGCCTCTGGCCTTTAACGTCCGACGTCTTATTTGCATTTCACCCCATTTAATTTATATCATTTCATTTCCACGGTTTAACAGAAGAATACACAATGAGCGAGACGCTTGGGTGACTACTTGAGACACTGTGCTCCTAACACCAGCGATTTACCCAGAGCTCGTTACTGGTCATTTTACACATCAGGAACGAGAATGGATGCTCTCGAGAGGATGTGGTTTGCTCTGTAACTCAGCGAGCCCAGATTTCTGTAAAGAAGCCATGAAACAGATCTATTATATATAAATAATGACACTTAGTACGAGCCTCGCCCTAGTCTCAGCATATTGTTCTAGAATCGGGTCAGGGGGACGGACCCCAGAGCCTCTGGCATCAGGCTTCACGGACGTCTCAGGCTTGCCTCGGAGTAATAATGGCTCTTTTTGATTGAGTCTCATCGAGGATCCTCACCGCTTTCCCAAGACACCAGGTTTCTGAAAGCATGTACCTGCAAAGCATTCTCTTAAGCATGCTCGTGGATTCTGTCTCTCAGGCAGCACATCTCCTGTACTAGGCCCAGACACCGCCAGTCACTGTTTTGGGAAACGGATGGGTGACGGGAGCTGCTCCCCGCGCGCAGTCTGAGCATCGCTGAGCACCAAGCTGAGCGAGGCAGGGAAGGCGGAACAAGGGGCTGTCTCTGCAGGATCGGGGGGAGCCCTGGCATGGGGTCTCCTGACTGCACGGCGAGCCCTCCCCTTCACCCAGGGCACACGACTGGTTGGCTTTAAGCTCCTTCCACGGAGGTGGCCCCGGGCCAGGGGTCCCCAAGGCCAGGGGCTTATCTGTTCTTTTGACATTTGCATTATGGATTTGCTCTGGAGCGCGACTCGTGCAAATGTATCAATGATCTCAGTTGGAATTAATGAGGGGTGAGGACTCCTGCTCTGTGGACCTTGAAAGTTCTAGACGGACATTCCCCCCGTTTTGAGGTGGAGGAAGAGCACAATGATGACAAAATCACCATGGGACGCTCAGCTCTGGCTACCTGGCCTGCGTCCTGGTTCCGCACCCCAACTTTTAAAACCCTTCTACCACGTGTAATTTTTTTGTGGTTACAAAGCGGGAGCTGCACCCCAGGGCTGAGTCCAGGCCCAGCACCAGCACCCTGGTATTTGGACGAGCGCCCCAGTCACAAAGGTCAGCAATCCTGACACTAGACGCACCCTCCTCCCAGGGAAATCTCGTCTGGTCCAGCCAGACAGAGCAAAACATCCTATTCCGCCCCAGGGAAACTCCCGGGACCTGCTGTGTGGGCAGCTGCCTCCTGCCCACCCCAGGGAGGGAATCCCGACAGGAGGAGTCTCTGGCCCACCCCACGCAGGGACCTGCGGGAAGCACTTTTCCCCCAGGCGGACTGGACACGGGCGTCAGCCTGCGACAAAGCGTGGAGGTGTGAGCAGGTGCGCCAGCCCCCGCGGCCTCGGGAGCCAGAAAACACGCCCCTTTCTCGGGAAGGGGAGACTGCGTTAGCGTTGCCCTTTCATGCTGAAAACAGGCCACGCTTGGAGCAAGAAGCCTGCGCACCGTCCCCAGGCGCGGCGCGGCGCGGCGCCAGGCTGCAGGCGCCTCAAGTGCAGCAAACATGCCCTTTCCTGGCGCGAGGCACTGCGGGGAGGCGGGATGTCAGGGCCCACCCGTGCCCACATCCGCTGGAGAAGCTCAAGGAAGAAGAGTGGTGGGCCGGGGCCGCAGGCCCTGCTGGAGCGACAGGTGCCTCGTCGTAAGGTGATTAATAGATGTGACTTCTATTTTTGTTTTCTTGGCAGACCTGGCTACATCAGCCTGCCAACAGCTCCTTTTAATCCGAGCCCATTAAAAAGAGAACAATGAGAAAAGTAGACTGCAGGCACTTTGGGACATCGAGACGTGCTGTCGTGCTGTAGCACAGGCGGCCTCTGCGGTGACACGGGCGGCCGGTCCTCCAGTCCCAGAGCCTCGGGCAGGGCCAGGTTGCTGGGGTGACCCCGAGGAGTTCTTCTCAGCCAGAGAGGGCTGCTTAGGTCAGATGCTGTGGACGTCCCATACCAGTATCATTTTTAATTTTCAAAAATTGCATTCATTTTGACTTATTTCAAAAATGTAATGATTTTATGAACAAAGAACCCAATCACGTGGGTCAATGGTTATTTCCTGCTGCTACCAAATGCCTGTCCTGATGACCACAGCCGGTCGTGGCTCACTGCTGACCTGCTGAAGCAGCCTCTCTCCAGAGCGGATGCCCCTGGCTACAAAGCTGCCCACGCATAGGCCCCGCCCTGTGCTCATCACCCCGCGCCAAGCGGCGGTTGAAGGCTGAAGTGGGACATCTGCTCTCTGAGCTGCATCCTTTAGGCTGCAAATCAAAAGTCACCCGGGCTTGACGCAGACCGCCTGGGGCATAAGACAGATGCCAGGTGGAGGGCCCAGGAGGTGTGAGCCTCCAGGAGGGTCTGGAGGGGCCTCACGGAGACCTATCGCCCCTGAGCCCGTAACAGTGTGGACACCCAAACGGGGACCCTCCGTGCCCCGGCCCCCGCCCAAGGAAGGGTGGAGCAGAGCGCCAAGGAGACCAAGGCCTGGAGGAGGCAGGTGAGCACTTGCACCGGGGCTGGGGGGCGTGGAAGAGAGAGACGCTTGGGAGCGGCGGGCGAGAGCCTGGCGAGGCTGACACGCAGTGTGTCTTGACTGCACTGTGGCTTCGGTCCTCTGGTCCCAGACTTGCCGGTCCGGCTGCCCTTCCCTGTAGCTTCCCGCTGCAGCGTTTCTGGATTTGCTGCTGAGTTACCGTTTTCTGGTGGGGTCCTCAGGCTCTCGACTTGTAAGATCAGGTGACCCGAGCAGAGATCATTCTGTTTCTTTTTATCTGAATCCATCTATTGCCTAACTGCCCTGATCCTGACTTCCACACGTGCTGGTCAGGAGAGGCGAGAGCGGACACTGACGTCCATGTCGTGGACTCGTCGGATGCGCCCTGCATTCTACCGAGGTGAGTCCTGCTGTCCCTGCTTTCTGGATTCTCACCACGAGTGTCCTGTCATTTGCTTTTCTGTGTCTACTGAGATAATCTCAGACTTTTATCTCTCATTCTGTTAATGCCCATGGATTGATTTCCATATGAGGAACCATCCCTGCTTCCTAGGGATAATCCCACGTACTATAATGCATGTCCCTTTAAAAGGACTGTTGAACTCAGTGTGTGAGTTTTTTTCTTGAGGATTTTAAATTTTACATTTGATAGGAGTTGTATCCTATGCTTTTCTTTTTTGGAGTCTTTTCATCTGTCTTTGAAATCAGGTTTATGCTGACGTCATAAAATAAATGTTCCTTCCTCCTCAATAATTCAGAAGAGTTTGAGAAGGAATGGAGTTAACCCTTAGTTGGACAGAACTCACAAGTAAAGTTGCTCAGTCTTGGACATTTACTCGCTGAGAAGTTTTTTTATTACTCATCCCTCATTAGTCAGATTTTATGTTTCTTCATTATTTGGGCTTGGTAAGTTATATATTTCTTGGACTCTATCCATTTCTCCTAAGTTATACAATTTGTTGGCATGCTATTATCCATAGTAATCTCTTTCAATACATTTCCTTCAGTGATAGCAGTTCCTCTTTCAATTCAGAATCATTTATTCTTAACCTACTTAAACATCTGTCAAGTAAGTCTATATTTTCAAAAAATCAATTCTTCATTTTAGTGAAATTTCCATTACCTATTTCATTTAAATAATGACTGTTTTTATCTTCATTATTTCCTTCCTTATGCTACCTTTAGGCTAAGTTTGTTCATATTTTATTGTTCACAGAGGTGCAAAGTTACTTATTCACGATCTTTCTTCACCAGTAAAGGTACCCTAAGAGAATGAAAAGCATCTGCAGAACATCCTACTTAATATTCTACTTATAAGCAGGCCACACAGTTCTCTCAAATGCTCACGGAACATTCTTCAGGGCAGATCATGTGCTAGGTCAAAAACCAAATCTTATCAAATTTAAGAAGACCAAAATATTATCAAGCATCTGTTCCTATTACAGTAGAACGAAACTAGACAATAGCAAAAGAAATGTAAAATTCCACAAATATGTGGAAATTTATAAGCAGACTCCTGAATAGATTAATGGGCTGAAGAAGAATCAAATGCAGAATGAGAAAATATTTCCAGACAAATCAAGTTGGAGACACAACCAATCAAAAGCTAAGAGATACGGCAAAAGCAGCACTCAGCAGGATGTCTGTAGTGATAAATGCCTACACTGATTTCTTATGCTAAACATACATTATTCTTAAACATACACCCTTAACCACAACTGAGTAACACTCCTGATTTGATCATACAAGCATGTGATGCTACCACAAGCTGGTGGCAGTGTGTTAAATAGAGGGCCTTGTTTTGGGTAGACAAATAACCCTTTATTTTGTATGAGATCATATACAGTAAGTGTCAGCAAATGCAACAGTAGGATGAGCTATATGACTTGCTGTCCCTCCGAGTGAAATCTCGGAGGGACAGCACTGTATGGCAGAGTTGTGTTCACCTGCCATAGAGGGAGCTGTGGCGATGTTTCTATTTGTCTCACTCATCAGATTTTCTTCACTTGAATTTGGGTTCCTAACTCTTATTAACTGAAAACAATTACTGCAAAGGTAATTACCTTTCCAGAAAAGGTAATTCTTTTCTGGAAAGAGAAACCACTCAGGTTTTAAGATGTCCCTCCACTGACAGAAAAAAGCATTGTCATCACCACCTATTCAAGACATTCAAAGTGCCCTGAAGTCCTGATTACCCACCGAGGTTGTACCACATGTCTCGGATTTCGAAGCCAATCTGTCTTCTCATATCTCCATACCTGAAAACGAGGGAAAGGAAAAACACTGGTCACTGGAAAGAAAATCATACTTAGGTTATGTTTAAGTGCACTTAAATTCTCTCAATCACAGAGATCAGAGAGTCAAAATGTCAACCAATCTTTTGCTAATCTTTTGCTACCGCAGGGAACTGGAGGGGGCAGGGGCCCCCAGGGGGAATCTCAACTTCCCATCACCACCACCCTTCCCCGGGGAGCAGAGGAGATGAGGGGAGTGATAGATGGATTTCCTTTCTTCACCCTTCGTGGCACAGGAGAGAGAACCCGGCGGATTGACCTGAAGGGCACACTGCTAGCGGTCAGCATGGTGGACACCAGGTGGCAGCCACAGCCCCACTCACCCACAGCAGGTTCACACACTAAGCTAGGCCTTGGAGTTACAATCAGACAGGCCGACCCCTCCTTGACATGCGCATTTTCAACAGCAGGAAGGGCTGACACAGAGAGACATCAACAGCTAACACCCCTGTGTTTTGCTTATCAGGGAAGTAAGCGCTAATTTTCCTCCTGGTGGGTCAGCAGAGGAGGTGTGTGTTTCATGAGTAAACAGAGTCTGATGCTTCAGAAGATAAACTTCGATTAGTTGTGTGCAATTAACCTGTTCCCCTAACTAGCTAAGGAAACGCTAAGCTGAGAACAGTAACTTGCAAGACCGCGGCATGGCGTCGCCGCCTGCAGCTGCATCGAGGAGGAGCTGCGTGTCTGCCAGGGGCTGGCCGGGTGAGGCTCTGCCTGCGGGCGGGCGTGAAGGGTACAGGCCCCGGCTAGCGAGTCGGCACCACAGCCGCTGCCTCTTGCTTCAGCGTCTCCTGTGCGCCAGACACCGTCTTCCACTGAAGCAGGCTGGGATCGAGGCAGAGTGGTGTCTCAACCAGGGAACCCCCGGGTGACCCCGCCCTGGGCTCAGTGGCTCCAGCCGCCCAGAGCGCAGTTGGAGAACCCTGATCAGAGCGTAGGTACCTGCCTGCCCTGCTCCTTCCGCTGCCCAGGGGCCTCTGCCAGGGAACGTGCCCTCAGCAGCGGCACGCCAGGAAACACCAGGCACGGGCACGGAAGCCCAGCAGCAGCAGCGCTCATAAGCCTGGGCTTGTGTGTGTGAGGCAAGCACTTGTGAATGCAAAATGGCACCCCCAGTCGCTCAAGGGATCTGGGTACCACTAACTAAGTCCAGTGAGGCTTGTCCGACTTCTCGACTCCCAGGGAAGAAGGGCCCAGCAGCCACCACAGCGGGCCACGGAGCAAGGGCCGAGGGACAGGCACCCCCGGCAGCAGCGAGCCCAGGGAACCCAGGGCAGATCCCCAAGCTCATGAGGGTCGTATCAGGTGGCCGAGTTACCCCAAGGGGAGCAGGCCAGACGGCACCAGGGAAGACGCCCAGACACCCACCCCACCCAGCCCGTGCTCAGATCCCAATTTGGAGGCGGCCAGGCGGCCTGAGCCGTACTGTGGCCTCGGTCGCAGATTTCCAGCAGCTCGCAGCCTCGTGCGTGGGGAACGCAGAACGCCGCAGATACACCACAGCGCAACGCCAGCTGTCTGACGGCAGCCGGGGCAGCCGGAGATCCCCTCAGAGCGGCCGCTGCCGGGCTGCTGGCCGGCGCCCGCACCCGGCCCGCGCAGCTCTCCCTCGGGGCGGACTCCGCCTCTCCACTCCAAGGGAGCCCTGAGGTGGGAAGGAAGGAAGACAGGAGCCTGGGCGGTGGCGGGTCTGGGCGCCCCCGAGGCTGGCCGGCACCGCGTGTGCCCAGGGCTGGAGCAGAAGCTGCAGGCAGGAGCATGAGCAGGGGACGCGGCCCACTCCAGGGCTCCCCCGGCCTCCTTGAGCTGGCGGGGAGCCGGCTTACATTCCCGCCCCACTTCCCGTCTTCCACGTGGAAAACGAGGGCCCCCGCGTGCGTACAGGGGTCAGCTGAGGCCCGAGAGCACAACCCCCGGGAGAGGCGCCCGCGGAGGTGTTCAAGGCGTGGTTCTCACTGACAGGAAAGAGCCCCCGCGCAGCAAGCAGGAGGGCGAGGAGGGGAGGCAGCCCCTCCCCAGCTGGCCACTTCCCGGGCTCCTAAGGGACAGCGTGGGCGAACCCATCATTTCTCCATCACCCCAAAGTTACAGCTGTCACCACTACGGAGAGGGATTCCCGGCCGATGAGTGACCTCGACCCAAGGCGGTGGAAAAGGCGGCCACCCCCGGATGGAGCTGCCCAGGGCGGGTAACCTTGGCCACCTCCCAAGGTCAGCCCTGAGACATCACAGCCGGGGGCGCAAAACCGGGCTCGACCAGCCCAGCTGTCCTGTGAGCTTCCAGGAGGCCTCGGCAGTGACGCTGCAGCGTTCAGGAAGACGGGGCTGAGCGCACTGTCCCCGAGCCGGGCTCTGGGTCTGGGCGGGCGTGGGTGCGGACAGGCGGCCCCTGGGGCCTGCCCGGACGGCAAGCCGGGCACGTGGACGCAGGCGCGCGCCGGACACCCGGGCGTCTGCAGCAGCCGTGCCTCCTCCCCGGGGTCACGTGCCCCCGCGAGCCCCGGAATGGTGCCCACCTCTTCCCAGGGCAGGAGGGCCGAGCGATATGGTCGAAGGAGACTCCCCGCAGCTCGGGTCTCGGTGAGGGCAGGGTCGGCACTGCTGGGCAGCGCCAGTGCCGCCCGGGTTTCTGCAAGAAGGGGCC